GTGGTGGGGGAGGAGGTGGAGGTGGCGGAGGTGGTGGAGGTGGAGGAGGTGGAGGTGGAGCCACGTATACGGGGGGTGGAGGTAATGATGGTACATACGTAGACGGTGGAACCACAACCTTTGCAGGTGCTACAGGGACAGGTACCGGCTCCACCACCTTTGTGGGTAGCACTGGGATAGGAACTGGCTCCACATATGTTGTTGGTGCAGGCCCTACGGGAACTGTAGGAACAACAGGAGCAGCAGGAGGACCGTACCCTCCTACGATCTCTGCAGAACCGTTAGCGTATGTTCTAAAATTCGCAATCATAGCCAGAAAATCCTATGCACCTTTTAAAAAGGACTTGGAAATTTCCAAATAATTTAGTTCACATGTTCAAACTTACTCCCTTACGGCAAATGTAAATAGGACGACTGAGAGGTAGATGAGATATCTCATAGTCGTAGATGATGCGCAACCCTCTACTCACCTTATATACAATCTTAACGCCGTTTACACTCTTGCTTCAGCCAAATCGAAGAACTTGTACGCAGCCAAGGAGAGGTGTTTTTATGCTAAGCCTCAGCTTCTGCTTCACTTAACTTATCGTAAACTGGAGAACTACTCTCGATGCCAAGGGCTCAGTTCTTCTAACAACCTTAATTGGTGCACATTAGAAACGCAACCTGTTCGTATCTTACACTTGTTGCAAATCTCCTAACTTGGGTTGATTCAATTCATTATCATTTTATTAAATCCATTAGCTTCACCATTGCATTTCTATGTATATGATTTGTTCCCCGTTTTTGATTGGTTTTTTACTGATTGCTTAGTTTTTTGGAAGAAGTGATTTCGCTGGTAAGTGTATGCCCTACATAAGGCAACCGTATTGAGAACGCTTGCTTACCCGAGGTGAATCCATGAAGCAATCAACACACAAAAATTTGCATTCTGTGTTTGATCACGGAAGAGGTTTTTAGTAGGAAAATTAGAAATATCTAGTAGTGCCAAACCTCTTATATAACTTAAATATAGAGCTACAAAAAACGAATAATTTTGAAAAGTATAAAAATGCCAACTGTTCATTATGTCTACCTGGAATACTGAACATTTCTCTTGTCATCAAATGTCATTCTTCAAGCCTCAAATTCATGGTAAGCAGTAACGAACATCGAATTGAGCGAAAATTGAAATTTCCTGTTCATCTATGCCCAGAAAGTTGGTATAACGTTTCAGTTGTCTAAATCGCATGGAACCCCTCAACGAGTCTCACGTTTGTTAGACTGACATGAGACCGAAATTACCCTCAAAAAGCGGATTCATATTTGGAAAACATTCGGAATTGTTACTATCACAAGATGTTATAGAGGACCCTTTCCAGGTTTTGTTTAAAATCCCAAACAGATGCAAATGAGCTTATATTCGTTATCAACAACGGCACTTTCGTGGTACTAAGTGGTCTAAGACCGTACTAATAACATATCATCCTAGTAAAACTTGCATTTGTCTGAGTTCCTACTTGTTGGTCATGACTAACCTTATCAAGTTGCGTTTTCATAATGGTATGGGTGTTTAAAG